ATCCTCAGGTGACGTTAGATCACCAATAGGATGGTAGTAATGGAAAACACCAGGCAAGAAGGCTTTCTCCTTTAAGATGCCCGCTTTCAGTGAATCTGATTGATTAACAGCCCACAAGATTTATTTATACTCTAATTCAGCTGTCCTGTCAAATGAGAGAGCCACTAGCTATAGGTGGCAATTTTAATTTGAATTAGTTAGAATTAAATAAAAGTAACAACTCAGTTCCCCAGTCACCCTAGGCACATTTCAGGAACTCAGTGGCTACTCAAGGCAAATGGCTACCATATTGGACAGTGTGATTGCTGAACATTTCTCACATTGCAGCATATTCTCTTGGACTCTGCCCCTCTTGGTTTCAGTGACCTGGCCTCCTATATGTACTCTCATGGTGACACATGAAGTACCTTTCAAAGATTTGTGATCCTGGTCTTAGGTTGTTAAGTGCATGGTATAAGTCAATTGGTGGGTACCAAGTTGGATGGGAAGAGTAGCCCTGGTGTTCTCTTTGCACAGTAGGGTGACTATGGATATTGATATGGTACTGTACATTCCTATAAGTTGAAAGGAAGGAGTTTATTTTCACCACAAGTGATAAACATTGGAGGAGAGAGCCACGTTTAACCTGATTCGACCATGACAGAATGCACATGTGTTTTGAAACATCACATTAACGGTGTAGGTAGGAATCTTCATCTCTCTGCCTAGCACTTTCACAGGATTGTTTTCTTTCTCATTTTCTTAGATTGATGAACCCAAGGTGACATATGTTAGGGCTTTATTTAAATTTTTAAAAAAATTTTCTCTGTAAAAAATTTTAGGTCCTCAGACATTGGTGAATCTGCAGACATCTGGCTAGAATGTCATCGCCACTGGGGATGCAGTGGGGTGAAAAGATGAAGTGACCAAGGGCAGCAGCCTTGTGCATTACATTATCACCTGTCACTACCTCTTACACTCTCCGCAAGAACAAGGTGGTCCTCCCCACTCAGGCCAAGACCTTGAGCACCTGCCAGATGCCCAGCGGCTTGCTTGACCTCATTAAAATTGAGCGATCATGTTAATGTTTGGGTCTGAGGCCAAACCTCTTAGAGCTGTTGAAAATTTCTGAGGATATTTTCATAGGAGATTCGGTTGGTGATCTTTTCTTAGTATTTTCTAGTGGATCTGTCTGAATGGAAATTGACCAAGAGGGAATTAGATCTGTAAATAAGGATTAAAAGCAAAACATGTGCTATAAAAAATGCAGCCAACACATGGCTGGTTATTTTTCTTTATTTTTCACTCTAAAAATGATTCATGGTATAAAAACGTAGAAAAGACAATATGTAACAATTACAGTGAAGTCAAAACTTAAGAGCTCCCAAAGTATGGCACAAGAGGTCCAGAGAGTCCCATAATTAAAGAGGGTGTCTATTTTGAGGAAGTAGGGATTGGGTTCTTGACAGCTTCTACCCCGTGCTGGGCCAACTCAGAGTCATGACCTCTGTTCCCATGCCTGTCCTGCTGAAGGTCAAAAAGGTGAGTTTGGTTGACAGAAAAAGAGGAGCATAGAACAGTGCAATTCCTTGTGGCTTTGTCAAGATCTCATGGGACTGGGAACTGATCAGATTTTCCCAAGGCAGGAGATTTTCTTGAACATAAATCAAATCTCCATCTACAAAGAAAAACGTTTTTACTTTCAATTTAATTATTTACTGCCAAAGGACATTCTTCCAGTACCGCTTGGGCTCCGCCGGACTTCCCTGCGCGGTGGTCCTGTCGAATCAGTGCAAATGCCTCCACTAATTGGTGTCCTGCCCTGTTGTTCCCATGCTGAGTCCAGCAGGAGGCCCGTCCCTCTCAAAGAACAGGCTTAGTGGGATGAAAGCTCGGCCACAGCATGGAGCACAGATGTGCGGTGCCTGAGCGTGTTTGTTCAGTCAACACGGACGTTTTCCAAACACAAATCATCCAGGTGACCAAATCTGATTGTTGTTTTTAACTTTCAGGGAAATGATATTTACCGCACCGTTAGCGGTCAGTGACCCCCATACTAATTCCTCTTTTGTGAAACTACTACCATCAGCGGCAAAGGTGGCCAGAAGCTAAGGAGGAACCCCTGCTCCTCACCATCTGCTGACTTCTTACACTTGTGGGGACCTTCTGGGCACAAACTGGTCATGCCATCTCACAACTGCACTTCAGTCTTTTTGCCTACAAAATGATGATTTGGGACTACAGGTTGACTAATGTCCTTTCCTATCTAAAAGTATTAGATTATATGGCATGCCAGGCACAGTGGCGTACAACTGTAAACCCAGAGACTCTGAGGCTGAGGCAGGAGGATTGCAAGTTCAAGGTTAGCCTCAGCAACTTAGAGAAACCCTGTCTCAAAATTTAAAAAAAAGTAAAAGGGGCTGAGACATAGCTCAGTGGTAAAGTGCCCCTGGGTTCAGTCTCCAATTATTCTCTCTCTCTCTCTCTCTCTCTCTCTCTCACACACACACACACACACACACACACACAATTATATGATTTAACTAGGTTGCAGGATGGAAGTTAAGATTCAAGAACTAAGTTGTATACTTTGCTGCTTTCATTCATAGAGATTCTGTAATCTCTGCTTGATTTTTACAAAGTATTCTTCTCTAGCCAGGTAGTACAATGCCTGTAATCCCAGAGACCATGGTGACTGAAGCAGGAGGTTAGAAAGTTCAAGGCCAGCCTCAGCAACTTAGTGATGGCCTCAGAAACTGAGTGAGATCCTGTCTAAAAATAAAAAATTTAAAAAGGACTAAAAGACATGGCTCAGGAGTTAAGTGCCCCTAATTCCTGGTACCGAAAAAAAAAAAAAAAAAAAAAAAAAAGGAAATAGAAGGAAAGAAGAAAAAAATCCTTCTCTATAAAGAATAAAAGTGGAAACACAAAGATAAGATTATCAGCTTTCACCTCATCTTAACAAAGTCATAACACCTTACATTTGCATGGTAACAACAATCTTTATCTAACTGTTATCTAGATACATTATAGTTTTCAAGCATATTTACATATGCAATTTGAGCTAAACCTCATTACCATCCAGTGCAGTAAGGGACAGAACAGCCATTGTCCAGAGACTCAGAGAGGTCAGGTTGGAGAGATGAAGTGGTTAGTGGATGAGATGGCTTGAACTCATTTCTCTTGTCACTACCTCTATCATGGACTGCTCTGTGACATGACCCACCTCTCTGCTTTACTTGCTACTAACAACACTTGTAATACTTTTTCAGATTTAAAAAATAAGGAAGACCATGCAATATTTAAGATATACATTTGATTTTAGCTTATTGAAACATGTTTGGTTGATTTGTCAATGTATTTGACTTCTATTTTAGCCGTATTTCTATAAAAGGAGACTGTATCGTTGTTGTAGAAATTATTTTGTTTTACTTAATTTTCAAACACATATGTGGAAATTTAACTTCTCCAGAGGTAGAGGTAAATGGATCTTGCAGGTCTATTATTGCATCGAGAGGTGATCTTGCATCGAGAGGTGATCTTAGCAAGGAATATAAGTGTGACTGGTGGGTAGAGGGGATGGACATTAAATTATCTGAAAGAAAAACTAACTGCCTGCTTGAATTTGGAGGAAAATTATTTCCTTCAGAGTTAATTATAGGAAAGTATACTGACATCAGCATTCCCGACTCTGGAGGCAAGCAAAGACTGTATTTTTGTTTGTTTCTGCTTTCTAAAATTTATACAGAAAAGAAATACATGGAAACATTGAACAATCTTGGAAATTTTGTTGGCAATGTGACTATTATTCCTAGGCAGCAAAGAGGAAGAGTCAAATGTGAACAAACTGTCATGGTTTGTTGAGAAATCTAGACGCCGAGTTTCAGAAATTATTGTATTACTTCTCAGGAAGATTTTTTTTTTTTTTGCAGCTGTGATGATCAATCATAATTGAGGTCTCAAAACACCAGTTCCCAAATTCAAAAAACAGCAATTTCAAAGCTTTCATGTTAAAGGATGTTTGCTTTTGAGCAACTGTCTTTCTGTACAGCTGAGAACACCTCTAAACAGGAGACAAGCATTTACAGGAATTTACTAGGATCTAGCAAAATTATGCTATATAATTTTGGGTGTCTTAAAACTCTGGGGTAGACATTTTCTTGCTAGGTGTAGATTTCTTATATGAACATGGGCACTGCTGTTGTATGCTTTAGATCTGAAATGCTCCCAACAGCTCTTGGTGTAAAAGTCTTGGTCCCAAGTGCAGTGATGTTCAGAGGTGGTGTTTTGGAAAATGACGGGATCACGAGGGCTCTGATCTCAAGAACGGATTAATCTATTTGGGATTCATAGCTGGATGGACTATGGGGGCGGTGGTAGAAGATGTGGGAGGTGAGACCTAGCTGAAGAGGTGCTGGGGGGGGTATTCCCTTAGGGATGATGTCTTGTCCTTGGCCCTTTCTCCTCTCTCGGCTACACCCTTCCACCATGATGTTTTTGCCTTGCCATTGGCCTAAAAGCCATGGAGCCCATCGACCATGAACTAAAGACCATGGACCATGAGCCAAAAATAAATCTCTCCTGCTTTACACTGATTTTCTCAGGTACTTTGCCATAGCAACAAAAAGCGGACCAACAACTATTTAAATAAGTGAACACTCTCATAAATAATATTTTCTGTTTTCCACCTCTCCTCTCCCCACAAAGGACATCTTCAGGGAACCCATTCTGGCAATTTTGAATGGTTTTCATCTAAAAGTGACACTCTCCACATAGACTCATTTTCTTGACTGAGTTGCCCTTTAGTAGCTTGGCCAAGTCCTCTTTATCTTGGGAGACAGGGAAAGAAGACTTTTATTCTTGTTTTGAAAATCTTGCTGATTTGCCGAGCAAACCTCCAGTCTGATCTTTTTCTTTTGTAAGTTACATAAGCCGTGCTGTGTGAACTAACATCTTGTCACTCATTGTCCTAAAGCAAGAGCCAAACTGGTGAGAAGCCACCTACTGTTGAATATCAAACCTCTGCCAAAAAGGCAACAGCGACATGCTGTTCTGCTCTGCCCTGAGTGATCAGACAATTCTGAGAGCAAACAGGAACTCCGGCAGCAGGAATCAAAGGCCTTCCCAGCCAGAGTGGAGAGAAGCAAGGGAGAGGTCCGAGATTAAGGTGAGGTGACACTATGCAAATAAAGGCACCCTGACTTGGTGTTTTTTTTTGTTCAGGACTCTTGAACACCATTAGGGAAGACAGCTGCAGGCGGATGCAATTTTTATTCAATGGATGGAGAAACAACACAACACCATGGCTGGGCTGATTTTGGTTTTCATAAGGTTTGTGTGTGTGTGTGTGTGTGTGTGTGTGTGTGTGTGTGTGTGTTCATATTCGTAATTATATTCATATTCTTCTGTTGTCCTGAAAAGACTTTAAAGTACCTCAGTCTATTGTGCACACAACACACACACACACACACACACACACGTACACATACATGTTTTTGGTTCAGGCCAGATTGTCTTTCATAGAGAGATTCAGACACAATATTTGAGAGTCCTAAGCTTCATAGTGGAGTTCATCAGAAATCAATGTTTTAGTACCACTTAATTCTTTCAGAGTTGCTTCTGTTGGTCAGAACGAAATCGTAGGGTCGTAGGGTATTGGAAGGAATTGTCTTGGAAGAATTATCTCTTACAAGGTTAATAATGAAGTTTAAATGAATTTCTTTTAACATTATGTCCATATAGGTTCTTGTGAGTGCTTGTTGGAAGACGGACAGGTGATCATTTTCTTTAGCTGTTTGTTGCTTCAGAACCTTCAGAGTCGCACTGTGGCAGAGAAGATGTGAAAATGAGCAAACAGGCAGAGGGGGCGGTTTGTGGCCTCTGGTCAGTAGGGCTCAGACTGTGTCCAGCACTGAGCTCTTTATCCCCCTGCTGTTACTTGCGTGTCCCTCACAGGTTGTCACCATTACCACTGGTAACTGGCCTCAAAATATTTGAGCTGTCACTAGATTTGATGTAAGGAGTGGGTTCTCCTGGTCAGGGACAGAGTGCACACTCATGCTTAGAATCTAGAGCTCCTGGTTTCTTATTTTCAGCAGGCCTTTGTCTGGGCTGCTGTAACCAAGCACCTCGGCCTGGGTAGCTAAGACACTGATTCCTTGCAGTTCTGGGAGCTGGGAGTTGGAGATCAGGGTGCCAGCATAGTTGGGCTGTGGTCAGGGCACACTTCTCGGTTCCAGACTTGTGATTTCACATGGTGGAGAGAGCAGGAAAGCTCTCTTGGGACTCTTGCAAGGGCACTAACCCCATTCCCCAGGGCCCCCACCTCCTGAGCTCTTGTAATCCCATTGAACTCCCCAAGACCCTTCCTTGTGAGTCTGTTCTACCTAGTACCATCGCCTCGGGCTTCAACGTGAACGCTGAGAGACATGTGCATTGGGTCCTTCATATACCCCTTTGTGAGGTGGCCCCCACCAGCCCCCCCCTCAGAGGTGGTTCCAGGTCGTCTGTTTTCATTCAGTTTGTTTGCCCTTCCTGTGCCGGGGGCCGTTCTCTCCTGTTCCTGTGCCCTGCCGTTCTCTCCTGTCTCTGCATCCTCACAGTGAAATGGAGTAATGTCTCTTTCCCATTCCTGCTGTCTTATGAAGGTGAAGAGAATCCTACCAGGACGACAAGCCTGACTTTACTCCTCTGTTTATGTGCTCACTCCCTTCACCCCAGAGAAGGTGGAGTGTGACCTATCTAACTGGAGGGTTTGGAAGGAAGAACAGCCAGAGTCCTCCTTTTCTTTAGGAGCTAGCCTGCCCTTGGCCTCCCCACCCGCTCCGTGTCCTGCTGGTCCAGCATCGTCTGTGACTGCCCGAGTCTGGACAACTCTCACCCACAGGGGTGACCTGTGTCCTCCACCGCAGCCTTCCCTGGTGACAGAGGTTTCCATCAGGGCTGCTGGAACCACACACGGCAGTGCAGGGGGCTCAGACCCAATAGATGTTGATTTCTCACAGTTCTAGAGCTGGAAGTCTGAGGTCAAGGGGTCGGCATGCCCAGGTGTTTGTGGGGGCTTCTTCCAGGTTACGGAATGTCACTTTTTTCCCTGTGTCATCACATGGCGAAAAGAGACCATGGAAATCTAAAGGTCTCTTTCACAAGGACGTCCCATCCAGGATGGCTCCACCTGTACCTTCCGATCACTTCCCAGTGGCTCCGTCAGCAACACCATTGCTGGGTGTGGGATTTTAACATACGAACCTGGGGGTACACAAATGTTCTCTCCATACCAGCTCCCCTCTGCTGTCATGTGTGAATTACTTTCAATTGATTTTTTGGGGGGAGAAAATGGGTGCTATTTGGGCCCCATGAACCTACAACACAGGTATTGTCTTCTTCTCCAGGTCTGTCTTTACCCATCTTTTTACCTTCTAAAAACTCAGCTTAGAGATTCCCCCCTGTCTTGGTTTCCTTCCTTCCTTTCTATTCCATGCTCCTGTAGGAGCACATACACACTTTTTTTTTGTAGTGTGTTTTCTTGTCTCTTCCCCACCAAAGGGAAAATTTCTTGAATGCTGAGCTGATTCATCTTTGTTTTCCTAGCATCTATCACAGAACCTGGCACATAGTAGGTACTTAAAGGTAGATAGAATGGAATCGATGAATTAGGAGAAGATCTAAGGTCATTTATTTAATCTACCAACATTTTCTTAGGACAGTTAAGTACTGTGGTCACAAGAAAATTCACGAGTGTGTCTTCTTCTTCAGAAACTGCCTTTCACATTGCTATCTTAAACTACTCCTTTAGCACCACAATTATGAAGATGGAACTCCAGGGCTTTTGTTCTAAAGACTATTCAATTCCCACTTCCAAATGTCTGAAGAGCATTTGAGTTTTGGCCCCTAAGTTTCCTTCCCAGTGTAATGATTTTGGCTGGCATATTCAGTAAACATAAAGCTGAGGGTGCAATGTGTATACACCTTGGGGATGAGAGTTTGTATTTGAGGCTTAGCAGCAGAATGCAGGGGATGGATGAGGAGCAGAAAATCTGATATATATTTCATGGCATTGCCTGGAAATAAATCCTGAGGCCTACACTAATAATGTGGCTCATTTGAAGTCAATGATTTTGAGATGAGAGGCAGAGTACCAACCGTGATTGACTCTGCAGGCAGCAGATCGGGTCTTAAATCAAAGGGCAGCCTCATCCTTGTTTGCTACAGACACTGGCACCTGCCATTCATCACCTGCTTTATTCCCACCCTGCGCATGATTGACACCTATTTATTGTCCATTTCGGTATCTTTTCATGCATATCCATCCTATCCTCCTAAGTGGGTTGTAAGCTCCTGTGGAATAGTGTAACAACAGTGATACACTTTTTCGTAACTTGTAAGTCTGTGCTGCAGTGCCTTGTACATGGTTAATGCTCACAAAAAGTTTGGTGATTGATCCTTTGTAACATCCACAGGAAAAGTAATTCCAACATGTAAAACATGAAAATAGTTGCAAGTCCCAATCTTTATTCTCTGAAAGAGAATGGAAATCACTAGCTATTTGATGTTTTCATTGTGTCCCTTTAACTTCTCCATTATGCCAAAATAAAAGCAGATTTTTTTTCCTTCTAATTTACTTAAATAAAGGGCTATTGTATGTGAAGATAAACTAATGGAAATTCTGGAATGATTAAGTGACTCTTGGGTTCAATATTGGTAAATAATATGACACTGTAAATTTCCAGGAGAAAATAAATGCTTTAGTCTCCAAAACTGTCTGTTAAATGGAGAGACAGGTGTATCATGTTTACAAGGGATATGACATTATAAACTGAGCCAAAACAACCCATCCAGATGTGCAGTGATCTGTATCCATGAACCTAGAGAACCCTGTCACAAGTTTTATGGGTAATTTTTGTTTGTGAGTGTTTAGACACCTTAGCAGCCAACTGGAATGGGGCCAATATCAGTAACAACACAGAGATGAAACACCATTATCTAATCAACTCCCATCAAACCAGTCAGTGGTAAAACAGTGCTTCCTCGAAACACTTATTACAGATAACATTTTGGTTGTTAAATTTATGAAGTGTAAAGTTATATAACTTCTTTTTTGAAAAAGTCAAGACTGCATTTTCGTACGCACATCCACCCACAGATACTGTTTGGCAGTAGAAGCTCTAATAAGGTCATTGACAAAAATAAATTACATAAATTGTATTTAGCAATTTCCAACATTCACTGAGAAAGTCCACGCAGGGGGCATGGCCTTGCCAATTATGAAAAATGTTATCCTGAATAATTAGCATAGTGTGTTGACAAAGTGTCAGCGTGAGTGGAGACAGCGTGCTTTAGCTACTGGCATATAAGAGACGCCTTTTTGCACCCAAAGTTTTGCTAATTTAACATGTTTTCATCCTACCAGAAATCCTTATTGTAAATTTGGTAGAGGTAGTGCTTATTGTAGAAGAACCCATTTCTGTTCTATCATGCTGCATATCATGAGCAAATGTCACCCTCTCAATTTTTTGGGTGGTAGAGTGGCTACTCTCCTCCCTTGTGGTTCAGTTATTAGATGCCCCCAAAGAATGGGGGAAAATGTACATGCTTATTTGAATTTCCTATTAAAGGAGCCTTGGAACCACCTGGATTGCAGATCTCTGTGCACACCTAGATAAGATTGATTTTTCTGGGTTCTACCTATTCTTAGTCTTGCTGGATTCAAGGCATGGGCAACCTGCTGTCTAGGACACACATACTTGAGCTTCGGCAGGTGGGCAGCTTGGCCGTTAGCTGCTCCATGAACCTGCAATGATTTGGGCTGCTCTGGAAACACACCCAGCACATATTCCTGAAGAGTCTGGTGGGCTCTTCAGTATTTCTCGTGGAAAGCTCCATGATTTCAGTTTCACGATATCGACTTCTGACTTAATAAATTTCCAAAGTCAGAAAGATTCCGGAGATACACAATATCCATTGCTCTTTTCATCTTCCTGTCAAAGAAGATCACAGCAGACACCTAACACAAACCAAAAACACGTGCAAAATCAGAAGACCCTCTTCTGTCTTTGAAGCCTGTGGTCCCAGTGTAGACATGGGCCAGCTTGCCCAGGCCTCCTTGGGGCACCTCGGCTCATTCTCTCTCCTTTACCAGTGTCTCTTCTTTCCTTTATTTCATTAAAT